CGGGGTCCCCCTCGGAGCTCTGGCCGGAGCGCGACCCAGGGGACGTCCGAAGGCCGATGCTTCGAGGATCGACACGCAGGAGACCCGGGTCCGAGCCGGGAGGACGGAGGGAGGGCGAGGAAGGAGTGCGAGGATGTCGGGAGGAGCGGCCGCCTCACGCGTCCAGGCCCGGCTCGGCCACGAGAAACCTCCGCAAGAAACCCGACCCTGAAATCCGCGATTTGCCCAGCGAAAGCCCAAATCTGTCGATAGAACATCGTCGAGATCTCATTGGGTGCACATCGAAATATCCCAAAAAAAACCCAGGGCACCCCGGCAAACTCCAGCTGGCTTCCTGGCACGCGCCCCCACTGCATGCGGGCTTGACTGCATAGGCACCCGCCTCTGCCCGTGCCCGCAGCCGCCCTGTGCTGCTGTGCCGCCCGCGCTCGGTGGGGCCCCCGCCCGCCGCCGATCGACCAAAACGTCCACGGCCGCGCTCTCGAGCTCCGAGTTCGGGCCGGGCGAAAGGGGGGGATAGCAAAGGGGGGGGGTTTGAGAATCAGCTCGCGTAGCTGATTTTCCCGGCGCCTCCCGGCGCCGGAGGCGTAGCTGCTTTTCCGAAGCGGGATAGGCCCAAGCGGCGATGGGACGCCGACAGAGCACAGCACGCCCCTGGGCGGGGCGGGGCTGTGGGGGCCCCTGTCGGCGCCGAGTGGGCGATCGGGGGTCCGGGCAGACCCTCCCGAGCACACGTATGCCCCCCCCCCACGAACGATGCCCCTGACGCCAGCCCTCGCCCTCCTCGCGACGACCCGGGCGTGCTCGCAGACCTCTGGAGTTCCTCATGAGGCCTCCAGTCCTCGCCCTCGCGAGGAAGATCGAGGCTCGAAGATTCCGGTTCGACGAAGAGGAAGAGGAGGAGGAGGAGGAGGGTGAGGAGGAGCCAGAAAAGAAGGAGGAGGAGTCATGCCCTCGAGTCCTCGCCCTCTTCGCGAGGCCTCCTCATCATATTCGCTATTCCTCCTTCTCCTCCTCCTCAACATCATCGTTCTCCTCATCTTCTCACGTTCCTCCCCCACTTTCGCGCCCCAGGAGAAGCAGGAAGGAAGGAGGATAGGGAGAAGAGGGGGGAGACGAGTAGCATCAGGATAACTCCGATACGCATAGCCATACACTTTCAGAGGTCCGCGCAACGTTCCCGGATCGACGCCGGGCCCCCCTCCCTGTCCTGGCGATCCCAGTCAGCTTCCCCAACCAGTTTCGGCGCCGTCCCTCACGCCAGGATTGGCGACGTCAGTGCCGCCCTTGCCATCCAGGTGGAGCGCGCGCCACGCCATGCTCCCGCTGGCTGGCGCCGCCCCCGATCGGCACAAATGCTCCGACCACTCGGTCGCTGCCGTCTGCTGCAACTTCACAGCGCGCGCGCCGGGTGACAACCCGGCGTCGTCGCAGACCGGCCCACGTTCTTCGCTGACCAAGAACGCTACACCCGCATGAGAGGCGCCCGCTCCCCGCCGCTGGCTCGAACTAAAGGGCACCCGCAGGCAAACTCTCGTCCACAGACGGCATCAAACTCCTGATGCGAGCGCGGACCAACCGCCAGCGCTCAGCTCGACCCATGCCGACGACAGCAACCCCTCGGCCCATACGGCCGCGGAGCTGGGCAGGTCTCTCCATGAGGCCGCGCGTTCTGAGGGGCCGCCCTGCAGAAACAACCACCCTGGCAAGGTGGCCGCATGAGCGCTTGAACCAAACTCAATGCTCAGGTCGCCAATCTCGCGCTCGGCAACCCGCTCAAGGCCCAACCCTTCTCTTTGATCCCCAGGCGGCCTCTCGCGCGATCCCAATTCCGCGGACGATCCGTCGGCCCGCCCCAGCAAGCGAGGGTACACCGACCTGGTCAAAGGACGCCAATGGGGGTCTACGCGGCCACGGACGGAACCTGCTCAACCTGCTCCCCCTAAGCTCCCACTGTTTCTCGCCAGGACAGCCTGCGGCGCCTACCGTGCCCCGGACCATCGTGTCAACTACGCCGCCCGCACCCGCGAACTGTCCAAGAGCGCACAACGCGAAGAGACACTGGTACCGCCCACCATAGGCGCGCAAAGCGACCTTTTGGGAGCGGGCCAGGCAGAGCCCGACATGCTTCGCGCCGAGCAGGAGGCCCAGCCTTAAGGCCGACACGACCTCGATGATGGGCCCATCTCGGCCACAACCGAACGTTTCTACCGACGCGCAGACGCACTTGCCACAGGAGTCGCCTCCGTGAGATGCCCGCCGAGGCCATCCGCGCCGCCCAAACCCGCCGCAAGTTCGGCGCCGTCCTGCGCAGAGAAGCCGCCGCCATCCGCGACCAGCGCGCCCGCGCTTAGCGAACCCCCTCCCGCACCGCGGCGCGGGGTGCGACGCCGGCGGCCTGCGGCGGATAGGCCCTCGCCCACCGAACACCAAAAGGCCCCCCGGCTTCCCCAGTGGAGGACCGCGCCGCTGCCATCCGCCTGGTCGGCTTGGAAGCGGCCTGGGACGAAGACCGCCCCGGCGACGAACGCGACTTCCATCCCTTCGGCGTCGGGGGTTCCCTCGACTACCACGACGACGACCCGCTCGCCCACCCAAATGCAGACAGTGCTGCAGCTGTGCAAGGCAACTGCCCTCCACTACTCCCCGGACCGCTCCTGGGGTACGTTATGACCAGAATCTCGAGGCGAATCCAGCGGTGGCGACGAGGGCCTCCCAGGCTTCCCACAAAGCGGAAAACGAGGGAAGGGCAGCGGCATCGGCACCCTGCCATCCGATGTTTTGGAAACGTCTCGAACGAGGCGCCCGTTTGGCCCAGTGGACGAGTCACTTCCCAGAGCTCCGCAGACACCGCGATAGAACGAGGAACACAAGCACAGCACCTGCGCACCAGAGGGGTGAGCCGCCAGGGGTGTGTGATAATCACGGGCCTCTTCGCGTTCGGGTTGTGGGGGCGCCTCGAGCGAGGAGCACGATTTGGCAGTGGACGGAGTCTACTCCAGAGCCCCATGGTCACCACGACGTAGTGATATCAGTTGGCACCCAGAAGGACGCGCCGACCAGGTGTGTCGCACGGGCCCCATGGCCCACCCGTACCCAAATTCGCTTAGAGCCATCGTGCTAGCTGCTACCATAAAGACAACTACCTGAGTAAGAAGCAAAAGTCCACGGGTAGCCTCGGCCAAGCGCAGGCTTCCCGACCTGGATGTCAGAAGCGGCCCGAAAACCAGAGCCCCATGCTGAGCTTCACACAAACAGAAGCCATGCACCAACCTATGGCACGGCGCCTTGGCAGAGCGATACGGACACGCCAAACGCGCACACAAGAGGAACAACAACATGCCAAAGCCATGCAATTCTACACGCACGCCAAACACGTGCCGAGGCAGGGGGACGAGGGGGTAGGCGACGACGAACGATTCATAAATCCTCTGGTTTGGTATGGTCCTGATGTGCCTCAGAATGCATCCAAGCATGAAGTGTCTAACTCGCCGTGCTTTGTTGCAGTAGTTCGTACACGCAACTTACCCACTGCAATTTCGGACGTCCGCGCTTCCTGACAGAGCGCCGCTTCCTGGGGATGTCCCCGCCGGGCTCGCAAACAACAGCTTTGAACAAGTTTTCGGCTGGCATTTGGGATATCCCGACATATGCCTGCATGTGTCTCTTGTGCAACGTCTCGCCGAGTGGCGCTGCCCGTGCTAAGGACAATGCGGTTGCGTTCGACACGCGGGAATCATATGCACGCTGTGCGTTCAGGACCTTGCGTAAACAAGTCGCTTGGAAGCTGTCTAATCGTGTTCGGTCTGCCTGCGATGACGGTAAGAACTCCAACTTGTAAAAAATCATTGGGGCAACGATGGCGCCGAATAGGCGGAGCTTCTGGATTTTGCTGTGCTGAGGCTTGTGTGATTTCAACAGTTTGCCAGTGATTTGAAAGTCTGTGTGGTTTCCCCCACACGCCTCGTAATTTCGGGTTTGCTTGCAAACCGCTGTGTAGAAATCCTCCCAAGTATACAGCTCGTTGAACATGTTTGACAGGTTGGAAAAAATGTCGTGCACAACCCTCTCGTTATTGATCCTCGTCATAATCGTTTTTCCCCAAGTCAACTCTAGCCCGTACTGCGTTCCATCAACGATTTCAAATCCAAAAACATTTGAAGTTCGAGCGGGCTCGCACTCGCAAGCATGGTGTCGTCAGCGTACAAGATGTCGTTGCGCACAACATATCCTGGCTCACGATACTCAGATCTCATTGCTCTTGTAAGCCTGGTCGATATCGAAGAACATGACGGCTTGGACGATGATGAAAAGGTATTGAGAAAGCGGGCACCCTTGAGCGATGCCTGCTCTCTGTTGCCTGATGCTAGAATCCCCGGCCCGATCCTTCAGAAGGAAAGATCGCGTCCTATAGATAGCCCATATTATTGCTAGCGTTGGCTCTGGTATCCCAAACCTCCCCAAAGCTCGCATGAGTGCGTCATGTTCGATTCGATCAAACGCTTTAGCCCAATCCGAGAGTACAGCTATCAACCCATGCTCAAGGGCGCTCTGGGCTGCGTCGAACATGCGGCGTGCGATCGAAATTGCGTCTATCGTGCTCCGCAGTGGTCTGAATCCAAATTGTGTGGGCCGGATTCTATCTTCGGCTCCTCCTTGTTGAAGTCGTTGTTGGATCATCCACGCCAGTACCTTGTAGCCTTCAGGTAAAAGAGAAATCGGGCGGTAATTATCTGGGAGGCTTGCGTCCCCTTTTTTGCATAACAGGACAACTGTGGCAATCCTCAAAGAATCTGGGATATCTTTGTTTTCCCAACGTCTTGGCTGTAAAGCCAGATCCACTCATACCCAATCCCCCAGCAGTGCTCATGCTCACCCTGGGTGCGTCCGGCCCAGAATTTCGAGGCGAGAGCCCGGCGGTGGCGACGACGGTTTCCCAGGAGGCCCAAAAGGAGGGAGAACGATAGGGGGCTACTTGCGAACCCTACCCCTACCCCCCACGATTTCTGAGGGGGGGGTAGGGGGGGGGTCGCATGTGGCCCCCTAAACGAGGGAAGGGTAGTGGGGTACCTTTTCCCCCCCTGACTCCGAGACTCTCTCCGCCTCCTCTGGGACGCGCAAAGACATACTAGTACTATATGTTCTCCTTGGAGGCGCGCGTCCGACCCGAACATACAGTATACCCATCTTGTAGCTTATCGTTTCCCGAGCGGTGTGGCCAGAAAGCACCCGCCAGGACGCCTAGACTATAAAATCTCTCGGTGCGCGCGTCGCCCCTGGGGGGGCGACGCACATATAGTATAGAGTATGTTGGGGTGACGCCGATTCTCCCGCTGGCCTTCGGCGGCGCCACAGTCCTCCCCGCCGCCGCGTACGCCGCCGGCTTCCCCAGCGCGACGGGCCCGGCGAACGATGGGGCCTTCCCAGCCGCCTTCTCGGGGGGAGGGGAGATCTCCCCTCTTCTTGCCCCCCTCCCTTCTCCTCCTTTCCCCCCCTCCTCCTCCTCCATTTCTGCCCGCCTCCATCCCCCTCAACTTCCTCCTCCTCCTCCTCCTTCTTTTCCTCCTGCGCCTCCTTCCTCCTTCTCCTCCTCCTCCTCCTCCTCCTCAGACGGGACACTTCCCGCAATGAGAATAGATTCACGTGAGACCTATTTAGAGGGACCGTGCCCGCAAGGTTTAAGGTAACCTGGTTGTTGCGTTCTCGCTGTACGCTGGTCTTCCGCATTCTCCCCTCCTCCATCCTTCTCCTTGCAAGCAATTTCGCCATGCCCCCCCCCGGCATGTCAGAAGGACGGACCAGGCCTTTCGCCAGACTCCCTCACTGCTCAAATTCCAGAGGCTTGCTATTTGCAGCAACTACAAAGATGGAGGGTGGGTGGATTTACACAACGTGACTCTCGCCGTATCGTCGCGCATATTCGCCGCACAGACATGCAACAATTTCAAGGATGGAAGGCGGTCCGTTTTCGAAGTGCAGCTCTCGCCTTAGCGCCGCGCACTTTCGTCTTGAAAGCTTGCAACAGCTTCAAATGTACATTGCGGCCCGTTCTCAAAATGTGGGACTCGTCTTAGCGCCGCCCACAATTGTCTTAAAAGTTTGCACCAGCTTCAAGGATGAACGGCTGTCCGTTTTCAAGATGCAACTCAGGCCTCAGTGTCGTGCACGTCCGTCATAAAGTTTGCAACAGCTTCAAGAACGGAGGGCGGCTCCTTTTCAGCATGTGACTCGCGCCTAGTCGCCGCGCGCACTCGTTTAAACATTTGCATCGGTTTCGGGGATTTGCACGGCTGACATCCGCAACCGTGCCCCGTGGCACGTTGAGGCGTGCTAGAGTGCCAAGTGCTGCCTGGATGTCTGCAACCTTCTAGGGCACCCCCTCTCGTCGCACTTGGCTGCCTGCATCGGCGGCCCCAACCCCGAGGGAGAACCCGTGCGAAAATGCAACATACTCGCGCCGCCGATGCACGGATGCCTCCAAGACGGCGTAGACGGGCTCCAGGACGGCCGAAGTGGGCCTCAAGACGGCCCAAGATGGGTCGAGAAGCCTTCGAGGCGTCCCAGGAGCGCCGAACGGGTTGATGAGAAGGCCTCGAGAAGCAGCACTCAGCAAGACGACCCGGCAGCCCCCCCGACTGCCCCAAGACGGCCGAAGATGCCCCCAAGACTGCCCCGAAGCGGCCAGGAAGAGAAGACGACAGGAGGCACAGGTAATGGTGTTCCTCATCCTCCTCCTCTTCCTCCTCCGCCTCCTCCATCAAATCATCGCCATCACCATCACCACCACCACAATCACATTCACCACTCTCATGTTCCCAAAACACCGTCCTCGACCTCATCCTCATAAGAACCACCACCGTAATCAACATCATCATCACCATCACTATCACAAGCATCATCACCAACATCATCATCAACCTCATCACCATCAGCACCCCCACCATCACCATCATCATCGTCACCATAATCAACATCATGAGCATGAACGCGAACTGAGCATCATGATGATCAGCAGCATCACCATCATCACCACCACCACCATCATCATCAGCAGCAGCGTCAGCATCAACATCACCATACACATCATCATACGCGTCATCATCAGCAGCATCAGCGTCATCTTCAGTATCATCAGCAGCACCACCGCCATCACCATCATCACCACCATCATCAGCATCATCAGCATCTTCAGCATCACCGTCGTCGTCGTTGTCATCGACCCTGACGGGCTCATAGACTTCGAGCACGCACCAACACCAAAATACAGCCGAGGTGTCACACGTGACGGCGACAAACACCTGGCTCCCAGAACCCCCCGATACGGTCCTACGAAAAGCGCGCTACGAGGTAAGGCCCTCAGAAGAGGTGAGATACAGAGCCGACACTCTTTAGGAACTCCGCGCGCCCTCGCGCGCAGACCAGCGAGGAAACTGGGCTGTCACGATGACGGGACTTGCCACAGGCAACCGGAGACCAAAATCAGTGCCTGCGCTCCCCCTTCCCCATCCGTAAAACAAACAACAACGGCATCAGCAATCAGCATCAACTTCCGAAGGTCCGCGCGGACCTGCTCGGCCTGCGCTGGGCCCCCTTCACACTGGCACGCGGAGGGCGCGCCAGTGGGCAGCGCCGCGGGCGCCGCCGACCCGAACAAATCCGCGAGGAACTCCGACCTTTGATGCTCCTGCCGTTTTCTCGGCAGCGGCCAAGATGGGGGTGTCCAAGAGGGGGGGGTGCAACTCATGACCGGCGGCATGTGCGCGGCCCAGCGGGGGGGCCAGTGACGGAATGAGATGAGGAGAGACGCCATGAATTCTGGGGAAACGTCATGGCCCCCGCCATGACATCCCACCCACCCCGAGTCATCACCCCCCTCTTTGCCGCCCCCGACTTTCTGTCCCCCACACCCTTCTGGCGGCATCGCCTGGAGCCTCGCCATCGCCTTCGCCTTCCCGGGCCCGACCATCATGCTGGCTAGCTTGGGCATCGGGGGGGCCTTGAGCGCGGCGCGCGCACCCGAGTCAATGCTGCTGCTGAAGATGATGATGGTGGTGATGATGATGCTGATGCTGATGCTGATGATGATGACGAAGACGACGATGATGATAATGATGGTGATGATAATGATGATGCTGCTGCTGACGACGACGACGATGACGACGACGACGACGGTGGTGATGATGATGATGATGCTGATGCTGATGATGATGCTGCTGCTGCTGATGATGATGAAGATGAAGATGAAGATGAAGATGAAGATGCAGATGATGATGATGATGATGATGATGATGATGATGATGATGATGATGATGATGATGATGATGATGATGATGATGATGATGATAATTAGGGTCCCGGATGGCATGGTGCTCATCGTAATGGAAACGAAGCTGGTTGCCAGCACGGAAGCTTTTCCCACAGCGGGGGACAGGGCACACGTACCTTCCATTGGCCGCTCCTGCTGCAGCAGCGCCCGACCCCCCTCCCGGAGGAGGGGGAGGGGGAGGAACAGGAGGAAGAAGAAGACGCGGAGGAGGGGGAGGAGGAGGATTCTGTGGCCTCGACGGCCCCACCTTTGCATTCATGCAAGTGGCAGCGAGGGAAAATCCAGCCCCGCGGACTTTGACTGGCTGACTTGCACGTGAGATTAATAAGAGTCGGCGGAAAGAGCCTGCTCGGCACCCTTCCGGCCACTCCCCATCCCCCGCCTCTGTTCGGAGGACGCTTATCGGCCGACCAAATACTTCAATGCTTCTGACTCTGTCTGAAACTCCTCAAAATTGAAAGCTGCGGGTGCAGGCGCGAAATCCGGAAAAACACCAATGTCGAAACAAGCCGCAGTGGTCGAGATTGACAGTGTCTCGAGCTTCTGCTCCGAGTGATGGGGGTGTTTGCCGTTACACAGGTCAGTCCACCCATGGCGGACGGCTCGACTCGGAGGAACAAGACCGTCGGTGGCCAGACCACGTACTGATGCCCCAGGCGAGTAGCATCTGCAACGGCAACACCTGAAGGGCACCGAACCACCCCCTGAACGCTCGACGGCGGCGGCGCGGTGGCAGAGCTCCTGGCGCCTGGAGGCGTGGAGCGCGGCGACAGTGCTGCACCTCCCCGACGGAAAGCCTGCGTTTCAGACTGACAGCGCGCCTCCAGGACCCCGACCATCTCGCCCACCCCTGGCCATCGTTCGGACGTCCATTCCCTGTGCCTTTCTCAGCTTCGTGCGTGGCTTTCTCGCATGATGACCAAGGATGCTCCTCAGTGGTCCTCGCCGGAGGGAAAGTGCACAGGTCCCAGCGATGCCAGGAGGGACCCTGTGGGCAGGGAGGGGGGGAGGGGTGACGCGGAAGCGGCAGGCGCAGGTGGGGCGCGCGGGGCCCCTGGGGAGAGACTCTTGCCCAAGCGGAAGCAAAGTGCTGGCAGCGAACACGCGGTGCGCTGTGGCCACATCGGCTGCATCCGAAACTACGTCAGTCACCTGGGGCCGGGGGGCGGAGCCGGATGCCATGCTCGGCCCCGACGTCCGCATTCGAATGTCCGTTCCTGAGAACACGCCCGCGCGCCGAGATGTCGCCCCCCCCCCCCCCCCCTACGTCAAGGTGAACCTTAACCTCGACGACTTCATCAACGCGCTTCCCACTTTCCATCAGGCGTGTTAGCCTGCAGAATCATCCCATAATAATCCCATCTGCCCGAGGACCTATCGGGGACTTGGGAGCTTACGCGTGTGAGTAGCATTCGCACAGTCAGAGCAAAGCACTGGGTGGAAGACTACAAAGCGGGAAAGAACACATCTGGCCGAGAACTCAACTGTCTGAGGGGCTGAAGGCAAGTGAGCCCACGCTGTGCCTCGCACTTCGCAAAAGCACTCTCCGCCATCCGAACGCATCGAGACGGCTCAAGAGGCCCTAAACAATTATCTGACTGGGTGGCGCTGGCAGGGTCCGTCTATGAATGAGTGGCCCAGGATCTCACCATTGGTTGGAATCTAGGGGCCTTCAGGGCTGGACAGCTCGGCGCAGGGCAAGGCTTGCTGCAAGGAGTTGGCCCATTCGAGGGCTGGCCTTGGACAACAGTCGGCGGGGTGAATTTAAGCTCCTCTCGTATACAGATTCCACCGCATAGCTGACCCAAATATCTTGCGCCACGCAAATGTGCACAACATGGGTTGCACCATGTAGACTGCGCCATATAGTCTGTAAAAAACCGGAGGTTCCGTAAGGATTTCAACATCGAGTGCCGAATACATATGCAAACACATGGTCTCGAAACGTTTTTTTCTCCACTGACCGCCAAACCCGAACCCCTCCCCCCTTCACGACTGAACGTTGAGTACCCCCATTGGATGCAGTTTTGGTCAAGGAAGAAAGGCGGCAAGGCCGAATTTTCTTTTATCGCGGGGGAAAGTTGCGAATCGAAATTGCCCTCTTCTTATGTTGCGTAGCAAGGATTCCTGAGGCTTCCGATTCATTTCCTCAGGAAGCCTACAGATGTCCTACAGGATCCGATGGATTTCATATGGATTCCTATGGCTGACCGAAGGAATCCTATGTATGCCCCACGGCATCCTACGAATTTCCTACGGAGTCCGAAGGCAAGCTTATGGAAGTCAGGAGGAGAACTGCGCGTTTCCTGTGGAATCTCATGGCTTCCCTTAAGGATTATATAGATTGCCTTAGGAAGCCCATGGGTGCCCTGAAGAAGTCTACAAGACGCCTTCGAGAATCTAGATTATTCCTTCGGACATCCATCGGATTCCTTCGGGAATCCGAAGGACTCTTTAGGATATCCATTGGATCCTTTGGGAAATCCATGGGCTACCCTCTGAAAACTATAAGAATCCTTGGGACGCCCATCGGATCCCTAAGGCAATCCATTGGGTTCTCCGGGAAATCTAAACGATTCTTGAAGAACGCCATCGGGTTCTTCAGGGAAGGGAAACCGCAAGATTCCTTAGGACATCCTTGGGATGCCTTAGAACATCCAGAAGACGTGGGGACATGCGTAGGATTCCGTGAAACATGTTTCAAACTCCTTGGGGAATCCATAAAAGCCTTAAGGAATCAATCGGGTTCCTTAGAACAGATCCATCAGAATCATTGATAAATCCATTGGGCTCCTGAGGGAATCCATCGGGCTCCGGAGGAAATCCATGGGAGGCCTTCATAGATCTATAGGAATACTCGGGACATCCATCAGATCCCTTGGGCAATCCATGCGGGTCCCTACGAAAACCCATACATTCCTCCAGACAAGCATAGGATTCATCACGAAATGTAAGAAACACCGTAGACAAGCCATCGGACTCCGTAAGAAATCCATGAGTCCTTGAGAAATCCATCGGGTTTCTTCGGGAACCCATGGGAGTCCGTAGGCAATATATTTATATATACATATATATATATATATATATAGGGATCCTCAAGGATTCGTGCGGCAATTAATAGGATTCCTCCAGCTAGCGATATGATTCGCCTGGAAAGTCATAGGCTTTCTTAGGACATCCATCTGGTAATTCGTACGGCACCCGATGGGCTGCTTTGAACACATCGGAAAACGCATGTCAACTTCTAAATCAAATCTGTCACTGGTAAGGGTTCACTTCTAGTTCCAGGCCAGCATACGGACTTACTTTTCGATCCGAAACACGGATGTCAAGTTCAAAACAAAATCAGCCAGCTGTAAGAGTCAATGTTCTTTCCCATGCCAAAATGACGACTTTTCCATTGTGGGCAAGTCAGATATCGCCACTCGCGCGCACGCCAACGCGCGCGTAGCGAGTCTTGTATTGTCCACCACGGACAAGTCTCCATGCTGCACTGGGAACTAAAATGAACCATTCTCGGTGGCCCACGGGATTTCGGGTGACACGCCCGCGCGTGAGTCACCCGATCGCGCGCGCGCGCGCGCCGGCGCGCGCGTGGCGAACTTTCCATTGTCCAAAATGGAAAAGTTGCCATGTTCGTTTGGAAACTTAAGCCACTCACGGTGACCGATTGGATTTTGAAGTCAACATGTGTCTTTGACGTTTTCAAAATCCATCGGACTTATTTTCAGTATCATATGGATGCAAGACGGACTCTGCCAGAAATGTTCTAAGAACATGTCGTGGAGACCATAAAAAGGTCCTTAGAACAGTGTTTGGTAGGCCTATAGGCGATCCAGGACGCTTCGCCACTGCTTGACAATCGCTCACCCGAGAGGTCGGGGATCGTCTGACCCGGGTCAATCCAGACCTGGGTCAGCAGGAAACCAAAAACTGCAATGCAGGAAAACAAAAACTGCAACGCAGATCTTCGCAAACCCAGGTCAACCAATATGTGCGCGGCCGCCTCGCGGCCACGAGCGGCTCGCTGACCCGGGTCGGCCAGAGGGGGTCTTCGCAGGATCCTGCAGGAGCCGTTGCACTGGCTGACCCCCGTTTGCACTGACCCCCGCCTCTTGTTCCCCGATGGGGTCCTGGCTACAGTCAAAAACCTTGATAAGGACGCGCGGTAAGGACGCAAGACCCTTGGAAGCCGAAGTTTGGATTTCTGGGGCGGCGGACGACGAAAACCCCGTAAGCGGGCGAGCGAAAGAGGCCAAGGACGAGCCGCAAGAGCAAGGAAGAGCAAGGACGCAAGGGTACCCTAAGCAAAGTCGCGCGTCCTTGTTAGGGTTTTTGACTGCATACCCGACCGGGGCCCCATCGCTCCCCCGCGAGGCGCCGATCCGTCCCAGCCAGCCGACTCCGGGCCGCCGCGCGGCGTGCCGCCCCGAGCCGCCCGCGCGGGGGGCCCGCCGCCCCGTCCTCGCCCTCGGGCGGCGGGGGGGGACGCGCCTCGTCCTCGTCGACGTGCAGGTCGGGGCACGCGTCCCCCTTGATGCAGCCACCTCCCCGCGCAGGCCCTCGCCGAGGGCGCCGCTTCGCCGCCGTCGGCGCCGCCGTGCTCGCCGGCGTCCCTCCGTGCGCCGTCCTGTCACCCACCCCTCCTCCCCACCCTTTCGCGCCTCCTCCTCCTCCTCCTCCTCCTCCTCCTCCTCCTCCTCCTCCTCCTCCTCCTCCCTCCCCTCCTCCATCGCGATCCTCCTCGGTCATCCACCTATCCACCTCCTCGTTCATCCTTCCCCTCGTGCCCCACGTCCCCCTCCTCCTCCTCCTCCTCCTCCTTCTCCTCCTCTTTCTCCCGATCCTCCCTCCTCCTTCTCCTCTTCTCCTCCCCCCTCTTCTTACCTCGTCGTCCTCATCTCGTCCCCCCCGTCTCCTCGTCCCGCACCTCCATCCTCCATCCCCCATCCTCCTCCCTCCTCCTCCTCCTCCTCCTCCTCCTCCTCCTCCTCCTCCTGTTCCTCCTCCTCCGACTCCTCCGCCTCCTCCTCCTTGCCTCTCCTCAGCCCATTCGAGACACAACCGCCGAGGATGTGGCCGCCGCTTTCCTTTCCCAATGTGCCTCCTCCGCACTGCTCCGAGGCAGCGCAGCCCCCCTGTGCAAGCACCCTCGGAGCGTGGCCCCAGAGAAGGGCAATCCGAGAGCTCTAGGCTCTCTGCGACGGACCCCGCTAGGTCCTGACGTCGAGGAACAAACTCTGTCCACTCGTTTCGTCCGGCGCCCGCGCGGTCCTCCGCGGCAGCGTCCGCTGCAGGCAACGCAAGGAAGCCAGGGTTGTGGACGACCCCGAAAGCGCTCTGGCCTTTGGAGGCCCCCAGAGGCCGAGTGAGAGAATCGAATCAGTGTCGCTGTAGGTTCGAATTGAACGGTTTCGAATCGGATCGATCGAACCAGAACGGATCCAAAGGCGACAGAAAAAGAACATGCGCGACAAGCCGACGACGAGTTCGCCCGCGGCACCGTTCTGCTAAAATGCATGTCTGGTGATGCAATTCGTACTTATAACCGCCACCGTACCGCTTGGCACGGAATGGGCGTGTCATCAGGTCCTTTGTCTAATCCATGAAACCTCAGTCCTCACTCCTGAGGAGCCTGCAAGAAACCCAGAACCCAAATTGCCAAATCTCCCGGGGCTTCCCGCGCGCACCGTGGGACCCGCCGCGGCTTGTCGCGTGACTTTTTCGGGCCCAGGAAGGCCCCAGGACGGGCCACGAGTGCCACAGGAGGCCCCGAAGACGTTCCAACTGGTCCCCGAGTCGCCGAAGGATCGCTCCAAGACGCTCAACATGGCCCAAGAAGCCGCAAAGGCGCCCAAGAGGCCACCAAGAAACTTTTCAAGAGGCCGAAGTCAATGATCGTCCGTAAGTTGTTGAAAGGTTTTGGCGTTCTCGCCGTTTCGGCTTCCCGACGCTCCAAGACGGCCCTAGAGGCCCCCACCGAAGTCCGCCCCACGACGGCCCAAGAAGCCTCCACGAGGGCTCCCAAACAGCTCCGGATGGCCCAAAGACGGCCCAAGGCCCCAAAGACGGCTCCAAGAGGAGGCCCAGCTAGGGGGACCCGAACGGACATCAGGAGGCCCCAAGAGGCTCCCAAGGGGCCCCGAAGAGGCCCCAAGGGACCCCAAGAGCCCCCGAGAGGCCCCCCCGAGGCCCCCGGGAGGTCCCCCGGAGACGCCCAAACTGCCCCCATGGGGGCACCCGATAGCGCTCCGAGGAGGCCCCAAGCGCACCCCCACTGCGAAGATCCACCTCCCCGCTGTCGCGTCACTGGCTGGCCTGCCTGCCTGCTCCTCCTCCTCCTCCTCCTCCGCCTCCTCCTCCTCCTCCTCCTCCTCCTCGTCCTCCTCCTCCTCCTCCTCCTCCTCCTCCTCCTCTGTGTTGTCATTTCTTACCGCTTGGGCAACGGGACAGACGTGGCGGATAAGGCACTGTATGCCAGAGAGTGGGAAGTCGAGCGTGGAGGCATAGAGGAGAAAGTGGAAGAGAGTAGATAGCTGAGGAAAGGGAGCAGCGAGTGGATACATACAGGTGCAGGGGGCGAGAGAATGAGAGATGGAGAGGGGGAAACAACAGGTCAGAATAGATAGGGAATCGCGAGTAGAGAGAGAGAGAGAGAGAAGGGAGAGCGGAGAGATTCAGAGCTCCTCCCTGCGACATGAAACACTGCAACACCTCTTCACACGGCGAGAGGGATAGAGAGAGAGAGAGGGATAGCGAGAAAGAGAAGCAGAGGGACAGTGAGAGAGAGAGAGAGCGAGCCACAACGTGGTTTGCATGTTCCACCTGCTCCAGGCGGCCCTCCTCAACAAGAAACACTTAGAACCTCGAGTCGGAAGCCATGAGGAGACCGCCCAGCACAAAACAATTCCGAGACCATGAATAGGGATGTTTATCCGTCCGCGCCCTGCCTTCCGTTCTCCCCACTGTCTTTCTTACATGTTCCGAAGAGGGAGTGTGAGAAAGCGAGGGGAGCAAGAGAGAGAGAGAGGGGAGAGAGAGAGAGAGAGACGGAGAGAGAAGGGGAGGGGAGGAGAGGGATATGGACATAGAGAGAGGGAGGGAGCGCGCAAGAGAGAGAGAGAGATAGAGCGAGAGAAGAGAGAAAAAGAGAGAGAGAGAGAGAAACAAAAAAAAAACAGAGGGGAGAAGACAGAACGAGAGAGAGAGAGAGATAACAGACACACGCATAAAAGGGTCACAGCAGCGAGAGGGTAGAGGAGGAGCGTGCCTTCGCGCGAGGTGTTGTTCTGAGGGTCGCAAAGACTATGCGTTTCCGATGTTCAGTTCCTGTTGAGTGATGCTCACGGATCTTCTCGGTGCTGAGTGTGCTCACGTGTTCCCTGCACTGGGTGCGGGGTTGCGAAGTAGCGAGGGACTTTGCCGTTTCAGCCGTAGCAGACGAGTGTTTCTTCAACCAGCGTAGACAACCTGTGTTTTCCGTCCAGGCCAAAGTTTCGTCAACTGATAATGAGCTCGTGCCCGTTACCATTGGACGAGTCCTGAATGGCGTCGTGTGGAAGTTCCCTTTCGATTGGATTGGTTGGTGGGCCCCTCAGGCGGGAGCCTCCCTCTTGCCGCGAGCGTCTTGCGTACTCCGCAGGCGGTGAAGAAGACGCAGGAGGCAGGAGGAGATGGGTGAGGACGAGGATGGGGACAAGGATGCAAAACAACAACTGCGCGACCGGGGAGCCCCACACACTCATATTATGTCTGGAATGCTGAGAGCTGAAATGAAACATGCGAGACTGATGCTGGTGGCCGTTGCCCCGCCGACACCGTTGGCGACGCCGGTCAAGCCTTGGGAGCCTGAGTACCCTGAGGGCGTCGAGAAACTGCCACCCCTGCCACGCTTTCCGAGCCTGGGCCGTATAGAGACCGCGCTCAGGGACCACGTCGGGAAAATGCTACCCATGCCACATTTTCCGAGCCTGGGCCGTTTAGAGACCGCACTCGGGGACCACCCCCTGCGCACTCCCTCTGGCGTCGAGAAACTGCCACGCCTGCCACACTGTCCGAACCTGGACCGTATAGAGACCGCGCTAAGAGCACTACCTGCGCACACCTTCTGGATTCAAGAAACTGCCAGCCTGCCACACTTTCCGAGCCTGCACCGTATAGAGACCGCGCTCAGAGACCACCCCCTGCGCACCCCGTATGGTATCAAGAAACTGCCACGCCTGCCACACTTCCCGAGCCTGGACCGTATAGAGACCGCGCTAAGGGACCACCCCCTGCGCACCCCGGGTGGTGTCGAGAAAGTGCCACGCGTGCCACACTCTCCGAGCCTGGACAGTGGAGAGACCGCACTCAGAGACCACCCCCTGCCCACCCCTCTGGTGTCAAGAAACCGCCACCCCGGCCAGCCTGGCTGGATGTGGGCGAGTGCCCGATGCGGGTGCCCAATATGTTGTGCATACGTCTTGGGTGTAGAATGCCGTGAACACGCCAGGCAGGCACTGGCGTTGTATGGTGTCTGCGTATGCGAGTGTGTGCATGTGAGGGGCTGTATGTACACGGGTATCTCATGTGCATGCCGTGCATGTGTTGCGCGTGGGTGAGGGAGGACGCAGGAGGAGGAGAGGTGGGTGAGACGCGGGTGCGACGCGGCAAGGCAGAACACCATAACCCCATGAAACATGTCATAAGGATACTGAGACGACTGCGCTGAGCGAGGATGAGGTAGGCCCAGCAATTACATCTATGAACCGACGACGAATCGAAGGAGCATACGAACACATACAGATGATGAGTAAGAGCAAGTGCCTAAATATTGCTGGGAGCGACGTGGTGTATATACGCATATACATATACATATATAGCAGGACAAGGAGGAAGAGCGAGCTATAGAGAGAGAGGACGAACGAAAAGAGAGCGAGAGAGAACGAGAGAGAGAGAGGGAAGGGGAGAGAGACCGAGAGGGACAGGGCAAGTGACAACTGTTATTAGGGAGAGAACGGAGAAGGCGATGGACGGGAGGGAGGTACACGAAGAGCCAGGAGAGGGGAGGAGAGGGAAGAGCATAGATCATAATATCAACGAAGAGCAGACAAGCGGCGAGGAGCACAGAGGACAGTGCGAGAGGAGCTAGGCATTCCCGCCCGTCCTCCCCCCCCACCCATCTGAAAAGCCTCACAGATTTTGGAGGCTGGAGGCGCAACCGCGGCAGACTTGGCGGTGTACGCCGGCAGTGTGAACGTCTTAGGCCTGGCGAGCTGGCGGGAGGAAGGAGAGCACAAACACTGGGAGAAGACAGAGGGCGAAATATACAGAAGAGGGGATGGGAGAGAGACGGCTAAACCACCAACCAGCCGGGCAGCCAAACATACGGCTGGCAAGCCAACCGCCAATCAAGCAACGCATCAAGAACTACGATTATGTTGGTCCCATCGTACTTCAGGGCCACATCCCAAGAATCATTTCGAGCACCCAGAGCAGTATCGAAACAGTGTCGAACGAGTATAGCCTCCCAGGGCCCGACATGTGAAACCCTCCCATTTCGGTATTTGTCTTGGTGCTCGAAATGCTTTCTGGTGATCAGGGCTACAATGTAGGCTGCAACATCACAAGACTACGAGAAAGGGGTGCCTCAAACGAACCGCTCCGACACGCCCTGTCCGTAGACAAGAGGGCACCCCGCCAAGCACTCGCAACACAAGCAGATGCAGACGTCCGGCGGCGAGAGAGGGGAGGAAGTGAGAAGGGGCGGGCCTTTTCAGAAGCCTTGGACGTCCCCCGGCCTTCTGAGGAGAAGTTCCCAAAAAGCCTTCCCCAGGGACAGAAAACAAAAACCTGTTTCAGAAGGCGCGAGGGCGTCTGAGAAGTCCCGCCGCCTTCTGAGAAGGCCTTCTCATTCTCACTTCCCCCCTCGCTCGCCGCCGAGATTCGGAGATCTTCTGACCCGTGTCAATCCAGACCCGGGTCAGCAGGAAACCAAAAAACTGCAGTGCAGGAACAAGACTGCAACGAAGGTCTTCGCACACCTGGGCCAGCTCCATGTGCGCGGCCGCCTCGCGGCCACCCTCCCTCCCTCCTTCCCTCCCTTTCTCCTCCCCCTTCCCTCCCTCCATGCCTCCCTCCCTCTCTCCCTTCCTCCTCCACCTCCCTCCCTCCCTCCCTACCTCCTTCTCTCTCCCACCCTCCCTCCCTCCCTCCTTCTCCCTCCCTCCCTCTTCCCTCCCTCCTCCTCCTCCTCCCTCCTCCTCCCACTCTCCCTTCCTCCTCAGCCTCCTCCTCCTCCTCCTCCTCCTCCTCCTCCTCCTCCCTCCCTGCTCCTCCTCCTCTTCCTCCTCACTCCGCCTCCTCATCCTCATCCTCCTCCTCCACCTCCTCCTCCTCCTCCTCTTCTTCTTATGTTTCTTCTTATTATTCTTCCTCCTCCTCCTCTTCCTCCTCCTCCTCCTCCTCCTCCTCCTCCTCCTCCTCCTCCTCCCCCTGGGGCAACAGGGCAGGCTCCATGCGGGGTGCACTGAACGCGTGAGGGGTGCGGCACGCCGCATGTGGAGCTCCCCTATGAGGGCGCGCACCGTGAGAGCGGTGCGCCAAACTGGGCGAGTGGTGGCGTGCGGCTCTGTGAATACGACTCATGCGAGGGGTGTGCCAGCTTGGGAAAAGGGCGGCGGTGCGGACGCACCCAGAGGGGCCGTAGGTGGAGCTCACTGTTGGAGCCCCAGCAGCGTGTGAGTGCGGCGGTGCCAGAATTCGCGGGTGACAGCATGTGGAGGCGCCAACTGGGGTCGTGTGTGAAACTCCCTGTGCGGACACGACGCGTGAGCAGTGTGCCCCAGAGGGTGAGGGGGCCGCATGTGGACGCCCTCCTCTGGGCCGCAGGCGGAGCTCCCACTGGGCCAGGGAGCACACGAGCGACGTGCCGCCATTTGAGCAGGGACCGACCGTCCTGGCATTCCTATAGTCCTACCACGAAAATTTCTTAGAACTCAAACATGTTCTAAGAACCGAAACAATGTTTTCTGAATCTAAGCCCGATGCGTTAAGACAAGACAGTCCCAGCCAGAAGCGTTCTAAGAACATGTCGTGGAAGCCACAGAAGGTTCGTAGAACATGGTTCGGTAGGGCTATAGGCGAGCCAAGACGATTCGCCACTGATTGAGCAACCCCCCCTCCTCCTCCTCCTCCTCCTCCTCCTCCTCCCCCTCCTCCTCCTCCTCCTCCTCCTCCTACTACTCCTCGTCCTCCTCCTCCTCCTCCGAGCCAAGACGCTTCGCCACTGCTTGAGACAGGGACGGGGGGCGGCATGCGGAGCTCCCCGCGGGGCGCACGGAGCGCGCGAGGCACGTGCCCGGGCAGGGGCGGAGGGCGGCGTGCCGGCCCGCCCAGGTGGGGGCGCCTGCTTCAGGGGAGCGCAAACACGGATGACAGGGCAGTTTTTTAATACATAGGATAAAACATTAGGATTTTAATATATGATTAATTTACTGACTAGTAAATCAATGCACAAGTTCGTCATGGTTTTTAATGCTAAACCCTCTATCTTTACAACATGATCCGCACGCGGAGCATGTATCAAAAACAACACTATAGCGATCCATGGGTTTGGCGCGCGGTCGCCAGATCCGTGGATCGGGGGAGGCGCCCTCCCCAAAGAGCGGCCGGCGCCGCCTCGTTCGGCGGCGGGACTCCGCGATTTCCCATGGAGACGGGACCCGTCGCTACTCCACGCCCCCTTGATCCATGGTTGCGATCGCCTGAAATCTTTGGGGGGGCACGAGCAAGATGCGCGGCGTGCCGAAAGGGGCCACGGGGCTGGCGTCGTGCGGGGCCACCCACGGGGGCCGCAGACGGGAGGCCCCCGCAGGGGCACAGCGTGGGGCGGTCCCGGCCGGGGCGAAGCGCACTAGGCAGCCCCCCGACCCCATCCACGTCCTCCACGGGTCCCAGAGAGAGCCTGCGGCGCCGTGCCTCTCTGGCCACGACGATGGGGCCCCCTCTGGAGGTCTCCGCCTCCTGCCCCCGGGGCCCTGCCCGTGTTTTCATCCCCTGGTCGCTGGTCCAGGGAGGCCGGCGAGAGCCCCAAGGGGGCCGAGGCTTCGCAAAGATCTCCGGGGTCCGTTCCCCTCGGAGCCCCCACTCCTGCCTCCACGGTTGACCTGAAGCAGCACGCCTTCAGATCGAGAGGGGGCTCGGCAGGGGGAACAGGGCAAAAGCAAGGCGGTGATGGCGCTGCAGGTGCACGGGTTCTCGGGGCGCTGGACGGTTTTTTTTTGGCCATCAACGCATATGCCTCAGGAGCATGGAGCAGGCTTCTGGAGAAAAGGTGCGAGACACCACCTTCCCATCTCGAGCTGCAATCGGTCCGAGTCGTCGGCATCCGACCGGCTTCGAGCGGGGGCGCTGGACGGCTCTCGTGGCTCCCGATCTGACATCTGGCACCCACGGCCTGGGCAGAGTTCCAGCCACGATGCTCGCAAAGACTGATCTTATGTCGGGCGTGTCCCCCATACAGGGGGATTTTCGACGACAAATAAAAAATACACCGAAAATGCACCAAAAAGGTCAAACAATACCCCAAAAATAGTCCCCAGGCTATTTGTGCATTACTTTCTAATTATTTCTGGAGTATTTTGTATTTCTCGTCGAAAATCCCCCTGTAGGGGGACAGGCCCGACTCAAGACTGGTCTGGGGGGGGCCCACAGGCTCAGGAGCCAGTTTGAGTTCCCGTGGTATTCGTGGCGACGGTGCCCTCGACGATCTGCCCCCTTTGACGTCAACGAGCCACCTGCCCCCCAAAAAGAGGCAGGTCCCGAGGGAAGCGGGTCCTGGTCCCCGAGGGGGTCCTCCAGGATTGTGGATGCCATGACAGTGGACACTCCAACAGTCCTATAATTGAGTCTAAAATGTCTGAAAGATGTGGGAAAAGATGTTCTAAGCATGTCTCAAGCATGTGCTTCACATGCTTAAAACATGTTTGAGCCATTTTTTGACATGTGGAAATTATTTGGCAGCATGCTTCCTCTCCATTGATCGTCCTCCACAGCTCCAGGACCAGCCCTTCACCCAGAGCAGCTGTTCTTGGAGATCCTTTTCGGGAAGCCAGCACGTGCACGAGGACTCCGGGGGCCGCTGCTCGGGGCGAGCAGAGAAGGGGGAGCGCAAAGGGGGGGGAGCAATTCAGCTGACGTGGCTGATGTTTACGGCGCCTCCCAGCGCCAGAGTTATGTTGCTCTCGTCGTACTCGAGGGCCACATCCCAGAAATAATTTCGAGCTCCTGGAAACGTGTCGAACCAGTGTCGGACGAGTGTCTCCAAGGGCCCAACACGTGAAAACAATCGAATTTCGGCATTTTCTTGGGTGCTCGAAATTCTTGTTCGTGATCAAGGATGAAGTAGGTTGGAACATCACAACGCCAGAGGCTCCCGTGCGTCGAGGAGGGCCTTCGGCGGCGTGGCCGAACACTGCTGCCTGCCTGCAGCAGGTGCCGACCCCCCCCCCTTCCCTCGCCCACCCCCTTTCTCGGCGGCGAGCGAGGGGGGGAGCTGAGAAGGACAAGGCCTTCTGAAAAGGCGGCGGGATTTCTCGGCTCTCGCGCTTTCTGAGAAGTGTTCTGTGTCTTCGGGAAGGCTTAGAAAACTTTTCAGAAGGCTGGGGGAATTCCGAATCTGGCCGCCCAAAGGTTCAGCTGGCGTTTCTTGACAAATGATGAACGTTGATACGCGGATGCTCTCGCGTGAATTGACTGACGAGGGAGGGCGGGGAGTCGATGCATGCATGGCTGGGATGGTGCGAATTCACTTAGAACATGAACGATGGAGCATAATCATACGCGCATAGCAATGCGAGAAGCCAGCGCGGTAAGTCTGGGGGGGCGGAATATACTCGTTTTCATGTCTCTTTATTCAAAAAGAATATAGGCGGAGATAACTATGCGGTTCAACCCCCCCCACGCCGAACTTCAAAATGAGAACTTCACTGCTCGCGCAATCACCGCGCCCGCCCACCCGCGACTTGCTTTGCAAGGCCCGCGCAGCGACGAGTGCCATGACTGTTTGGCCCTGGCTGGCGTATCGCTGCGGCCGCGATGGCGCGCGCGGGCTCGCGCGCAAAGTGGCCGGCTTGTCTGGCGCGACCGATGCAGGCGCGGTGGCGCTCACCGCTCGGCACCTTCCAGCGCGTCGCGCAGGCCGCGATTACGCGCTGCCATTTCAGCACGAGTCGGTGGCTCGGGCGGGCGCGGCATCATGACGACGTCGATAAGTGCAGACGCGATGATGATAGTAGAGATGCTGGTGGCGATGATGACATTGACGACGGCAAGGCCCATGACGTCGCCGATGCTGACCACGCCGATGACGATGATGCTGCCCACGCGCCGTTGATTTTTGGAAAGGTTTCGACATGCGCGCGGACGACGCGGGCGACTGGCCCGCGTGATATATTTAACAGGGTCGCGCCCCCTCCTCCCACGCGCGCAAAGGCTTTCGATGTCGACTGACTTCGACGCGTGTGCACGAGAGGCTGTTGATGAGAGACCTGATGACCGATGGTTTTCGCAAGAACTCGCAAAAGCGTGCGGACATGTCTGGACAACCACGTTGCGAGACGACTGGTTGTTTATGATTTCGGGATGCTCGACCTCGAATCCGTTGCGCAGCCCGAGATTCTTGAATGACTCCGGCACGCGCGTTCGACGACGCGCGCGTGCGAACTTCGTCCCACTTGTTGTGCGAATCACTCTGGCCATCGCTCGGACGTCCATTTTCTGTGCTTTTTTCGGTTTCGTGCGTGGTTTTTTTCGCGAAATGATCAGGGATGCTCCCCGATGGTCCTCGCCGAGGAAAAAGCGCACACGTCCGAGCGATGCCAAGCACTTTGCCGCTACGGACGTTCTGCCAGAGTGCAACGCCTCCAGGTTGGCGACGGGGCCCCGGTGCAGCGCTGTCAGTGGTGATGCGCCCGCGACGAGAGAGGAGGCGCCGAAGGGGCCCGTGGAGTCGCGGGGCCAAGCCTCGGGCGGAGCCGCCCTTTCGAACTCGAGGCCGCTGGCTTCAGGATGTACTCGAGATCGTTTTCGGGAGAAGAGATCTCCAGCGGAAATGCCACCTGCGAAGTCTCTGGGCAGAAATTAGAAGTTTACAATGCCGAGCGGCATGGCCGTTTCGAAATGACGGTTTCGCTCAAGACTTCCTCTCCAGGTTCGATTTCGAAATGGCGCTCCCGCCCAAGACTTCCCCTAAAGTAGAGCTCGAAACCTCTCTGGCCTGATTTCGAAGTGGCGCTCCCGTCCAGGACTTTCTCCGAAACAGAAATCGGAGCCTCTCGGGTTCAATGTCAACATGGCGCTCCCGCACAGGACACGAGCTGGAATTCAACACCCTTCTGGCTCGACTCCGAATGGGCGCTCCCGCCCAGGACTTCCTCGAAAATATAGAGGTCGGCACCTCTCCAGCTCGAACTCGCAATGGCGCTCCCGCCTAACATTAAGTCGGGCCTGCCCCCCTACAGGGAGATGTTCGACGAAAAATAAAACATACCCCAAAAATAAACAAAAAACATATTGCAAACATAATATGGGGACTATTGTTTGACTATTAGTTGGCCTGTTTGGGGTATTTTTGGGGTACTTTTTATTTTTCGTCGAAGATCCCCTTGCAGGGGGACAGGCCTGACATAAGCCTAACATTTGCCTTGCTGGAAGCACGAGACGGGTCAAAACTTTCGCAGCGCCGATATACTGAAAACGGATGATTTGTGGTAAACGAGCGCGCGCGAAGAATTTCGTTTGGCGGGGATGAAAGGGGGGTCGAAACTGGCCTGGCTGGGATGGTATGAACTCATATCTCGCATACACGATGGGGCAGAATCCTAGGTAAATTGCACATCACCAGAAAGGATCGATAATGCTGACGTCGGGAGTGTGGTGGACCCTGATTCCCCTTTACGAAATGGGAGTCTATATGGCGCAGAAACCCAAACAGGCGGCGGCGACGGGCGGCGACAGGCAACAAAGAACGGGGCGGCGCACCGAAACAGACAGGCGGCGGTGAGAGGCAACAACAAGCCGGCCAGAGCGGCTCACAGGCCCAGTAGAGGACAAGTAAGAATCCCCACTTAGGTGCAAACACTGTTTGAGGAATAGTGTACACGTCGGTCGGAAAAACATAGGTAGAGACATGAAGTAGGAAGGCGGATATAGTAGATTGGGTCCAGGTCCTCCCAGAGAATAACAAAACACAGCAAACGCATGTCGATTCTTGAAGTAGGAAGGCGCTTGAAGTAGACTGGGATCTGGGAATCCAAAAATACCTACTTTCAACGACCGGCATGTAAGCGCGTAGGCTAATCCAACGGAAGAGATCAGCCCGCGCAGCAGTCTTCCAGGAGGACGCCACCGATATGGAGACCTCCCAAATTGTCCCACACTCCAGCGGATCGGCCCCCAACGGCCTGGGGATACCTGTCACGGACCCAAAGAAACCGAAACAGTGAGCCCCGAGTCATAGCAGCCCTTGCGCCCAGGGGCCTGTGAACGCACATGCGCCGAGACACGTCGCGCTCCAGCGCGTCCCCAGAAACCTCCTTGCGAGGCAAAGCAACCAAAAAAATGGCATGAAATGAAACAGTTAGCCCCGACCTCGTTCCACGTCGCCCTCCAAGAATACGGCGCGCAGCCTGTCAAATTTCTCCCCTGGGCAGGGGTCGGAATAAGCGCTTCTGCGACGGAGAATCCGCGCGGAGATCGCGCCGTTCTGCCGATGTCGGCGTTGCATCGGCGACGCCAGCGCGGAGAAAATCGGGCTCCGCATCGAGCCACATCGCCGATACATCGCCGATGCGGCGCGATCCTCCGACCCCATCTACTCGGACCCCATCTGGAGGCCTCGAGTTTACAGTCGGCCTGTATCATAATGATGCGCGATAAGGATGCAAGGGCCCTGGAAGGCCATTTCGAAGCTTTCCGAGCGGGGCGCGGCCAACGAAAGTAGCCAAGGACGGACCTGACCCAGGAGGCAAGGATGCCAGGGTCCCCTTGGGAAGGCTGCCCATCCTTACTGTGCGGGTTGACTGATACCCTTCCCCCTTCTTCAATCTTCGCCACCCCCGATTTGAGCAGGGACCGACCGTCCCGACATTTCTATAGGTATTCCACGACATGTTCGAAGAACCCAATAATCTTCTAAAATAACAAGACAATGATCTTATAACATAAGCCCGATGTGTGAAACCAAGACAGTCCCAGCCGGAAATGTTCTAAGAACATGTCGTGGAAGCCACATGAAGGTTCTTAGAACATTGTTTGGTAGGCCTATAGGCGAGCTGGACCGTTTCGCCACTGCTTGACCGATGCGTGCAGAGGCGGATCTCTGGCCAGAAGAAGCCGCGGCGCGGCGGGCCCCGCGACGGCGCCGCCCATCTGCGGCCCCGGCTTCAGCGGCAGCGAACCGCCCATCTGCGGCCCGGGCGGCAGCATCTGGATGCCAGTGCTGGCCTGCCAGGACATCGTCGTCGTCGACGTCGTCCTCATTCCTCCTCCTTGAGTCTACTCCTCTGCCTCATGCTCTTCTTCCTCCATCCATTTGCCCCATAAGGAGCGCCTCCATGCCGGACCTCCTCACGTGTCCGTAGGGCGGGCCGGGCGCTTCGCCTGAGACTTCCTCACCATTTGACCCCGAAGTTTCACGTTTGCAACGGCTTAACATGGAGGGCGGGTCCTTCCCAAAATATGGTTATCGCCTCCACGTCACGCGCAATCGTCACAAAAGTCCGTAACAACTTCACGGATGGAGGGCGAATGGTTTTAAACATGTGGTCATCCGCCCTAGCGCCGCGCTCATTCGTCTTCAAAGTGTGCAACACTTTCGCGGATGGAGGGCATGACCTTTTCAGAATGGTGCTCTCGTCTTAGCGCCGCGCACATTCATCTTGAAAGTTTGCTGCAGCATTTTCACGGATGGAGGACGCGCCTCTCGCCTGGGCGCCTCGCACATTCGTTTTAAATGTTTGCAGCAATTTCAAGGATTCGCATGGTCGGAGTCCCAGGGATTGCCTTCTGGCACGCCTGAAGACAGTCGGGACGCAACAGTCATGTTGACGCGCGGCGTTCCAGTCCCATGACTGGTGTTCTGGTACGAGCTCGGATTGTCTGCGGATCGATCACGTTGATCCGCGGCGTTGAAGTCCCAACAACGCTGCTTTAGCATGATTGAAGATTCTCAGACGGTTTCCTTCCAACAGGGACCTTCCCGCAATGACAATAAGAAGCCTCCAAGATCATTCCCAAGAGGGCCCCCAATGCCAAAATCGTTGAATTCCGATGAGAAAACGTCCTTTTATCATACACAACTTTTCGGTCTTCACGGCGTTGAACACGGCCCCACATGCCCCCAAGACCGGCCCAAAACGGCCCAAGCTCCCAAAAGGCGTTCGAAACGGCCCAAGAAGGCGCCTAAACGGCCCAAAAAGCTCCCAATACGGCACAACAGTGCCCCAAGACGGCCCAAACAGGGGCCCAAGAGGAGGAGCCTGAACCAACAATCCGACCCTTCCGCTTCAAAAAGGCCCCGGGGGGGGGCCAAAAGGCGCCCAACAGGGCCCATGAGGCCCACAAGAGGCCCCAAGGCCTCAAGAGGCCCCCAAGAAGCTCAAAAGAAGCCCAAGCACACTGAAGACATGTAACTTCTAACCCGCAACCCAAGCACCAACTTGGTCCGCATATAGCCATCTGCTCGCGATTCGGGTGCGCGCGCTTTCTTCGAGGCGTTTCAAGCCCGACCCATACTGAATTCACTAATTTCTCCAAGCTGTGTACACACTCTCCTCTGTTCCCCCTCCTATACAAATGCCTCAGACCAGAGGGGCAGTGGATTCCAAGCGCCAGGGATCTCAGGCCGGCAACCAAAGCACGGTGGCGGGACGGGCCGAAGGCCACTATCTATCTATCTATCTATCTATCTATATGTCTGTATGTGTGTATATATATATGTATATATGTGTGTGAACTGCCGCGGGCATCTACCTCGACCGAGAGGAAGAAGAGGAGAAGGACGAGGAGGAGGAGGAAGAGGAGGAAGAAAACACAAAACAAAAACGAGTTCGTCGTCGCCGCCGATGTCCCACAGATTTTCGGGTCATTTCACCCGAAGCATCTCCTCGAATTCAACCTCCAGGAAGAGTTTTCGGTGCCGGGCACCACCGCCGAAAGTACGGGATGAGGATCGACTTCCCTGGCCGGTGCCACCCCTTCGCAAAGGAAGGAACACGGGGTGGATCGAGGCTCGAGGCATGAGACTCCTAGTTCTTGGGCGCTCTCCGCCCCCTGGGCCTTCAGGAAACTCCTCGACGACACAGCTGGATCCACTCTCGAACTTCTGGCCGGACGCAACCCCAGCTGGGTCTTAACGATCCCCGAGCCTATCCGGGAGGTGAAAACAATCCCCCACAAGGCCCCCCCTTGAGTCCCACACTCTAGATAGGACGGGCCGAACCCCCAGGATTGCCCAACGATCGCGCGCGTTCCGCGAATTCTGTCTGTTTCTCTTGCTGCCGCCCCAAGGGGTCGGCGGTGCTGGGGAAACTGAAAGGTACCGATACCGCTACTCCCCGGACCTATCCTGGGGTGCGTTCTGACTAGAATTTCGAGGCGAATCCAGCGGTGGCGACGAGGGCCTCCCAGGAGCCCCAAAAAGGGGAAAACGGGCGAGGGGTAGAGGAATGGGTACCTTGTCCTCCTCTGAGGTGCGGCGTGAGCCAATGCATCGAATCGAACAGCATCGGAGTCGAAAAACAAGCCCTGGGACCCCCTTGCCGTCGCTCGGACGTCCATTCCCTGTGCGTTTTGGGGTTTTATGCGTGTTTGTTTTGCTCGATGATCCAGGATGCTCTTCGATGGTCCTCGCCGAGAAGAAATGCACACGTCCGAGCGATGCCAAGCCCAAGGGGTCCGCGGTGCGGCGTAAGCCAATGAAGCGAATCGAGTCGTATCGGAGCCAGAACGATCGGGGGCGGCAAAGAGGGGGGTGTCCAAGAGGGGGGGGTGCAAATCATGACCGGCGGCATGTGCGCGGCCCAGCGGGGGGGCCAGGGACGTCATGAAGCAAGAAGCGGCGCCATGAGAGCTGGGGAAACATCATGGCCCCCGCCACGATATCCACCCCCCCCTGGTCCTCACCCCCCCCTTTTCCGCCCCCGACACGAGCCCTCGGACCCACCTGGCCCCGGGACTGGCCGCCCGTCCCTCGACGGTCCCCCGGGGGGCCCCGGAGAGGAGGGCCCCCCGAGAGGCCGCCCGCCTCCAGAAGAGGCCGCGGGCGGCGAGGTCCTCGCCACCGCGAGAGGAGGCGGGGGCCGCGCGCAGAGGCTCCCCAGACGGGGCCCGAGCTTGGCGGCGAGCGAGGGGGGGGGCAGTGAGAGGGATAGAGGAGAAAAAACTATGCACATGCACCGATTCTGGCCAGGCCCATCTTGAGCCCAGGATCGGTGCATACGCCCTCCTACCTTGGCCAGGAGGGCATATGCACCGATCCTGGGTCAAAGATGGGCCTTGCCAGGATCGGTGCATGTGCATAGTTCTCTTCGCCCGAAGGGAGAATGCCTTCTCAGAAGGCGGCGGGACTTCTCAGAAGCCCTCGCGCCTTCTGAGAAGCTGTTTGTGTCTTCGGGGAAGGCTCGGGAATCTTCTCGGAAGCCCCAGGGACTTCCGAGCCTTCTGAGAAGGCCCGCCACTTCTCACTTCCCCCCTCGCTCGCCGTCGACAGAGGCCTCCCAGATGGGGCCCGAGTACCAGTCGAGGTACTGCCACAGGGCTGAACCTAAACGGTGTTGTTCGTTTTCGTTTTCGTTTCGTTTTCGCTTTCCCTCGCTTCTGTTTTCGATCCGCCTCTACCGCAGAACGAAGTCGAAACGAAAAGGGCCCACGAAATCGCCAAAACGCCGCTGGGGTCGGAGGATCGCGCCGCGTCGCCGATGCGGCGCCACTGCATCGCCGACGTCGGCAATGCATCGGCGGCGTCGACGTGAGGAAAGCCGGGCTCCACATCGAGCCGCATCGGCGATGCAGCGCGCTCCTCCGACCCCATCTGCTCGGACCCCATGTGGGAGGCCTAGAGTTCACGACCCGAAGAGGTGGGGGTGCTGTCTCTTCGGGGGGGGGGGGGCGGCCCCCAATGAAGGGGCCCTGGGACACACACACACACAACACACACACAACACACAACACACAACACACAACACACAACACACAACACACAACACACAACACACAACACACAACACACAACACACACACACATAAATACACACAAATAAAAAGATTCCCCCTATTGTCCCATATGTTCTGGGTTTTCGTCTTCCCCCACTTCCCATATTTTCCCATATTTTCTGGGGAATCGACGATTAATTGCGTCTGCGTTTTTTTCTCCTGACCCACGGGCGCCTTCGGCGTCGCCAGCATCGCCTGCTGCGCGGCCGCGGCCGCGGCCGCGAGCTCCGGGTCCACCGGGATGGCCGGCTCGGACGGGGCGTCTTCGCCTGCGCCAGGGGCACGTTGAGGATCGACCCTCGCTCGGCCTTCCACCCTGCCCTGCCCTGCAGCACGCACGCTCGATCCTCGATCGACCCTCGCTCGACCCTCGAGCCTCGAACTTCGTCGACCCGCGAACCTCGACCCTCGAACCTCGAGCTGCAGAGCCGCGATCTTCGACCCTCGCTCGAGCTTCGCCCCTCGAGCCTCGAACCTCGACCCTCGATCCTCGACACGACCCCCCGACTATGGCCATCGCTCGGACGTCCATTCCCTGTGTTTTTTTTTCGGTTTCGTGCGTGGTTTTTTTCGCCACATGATCCAGGATGCTCCTCGATAGTCCTCGCCGAAGGAAAAACACACACACACACACACGTCCGAGCGATGCCAAGCCGACCGCCGGCCCTCGATCCTCGACCCCCGATGCTCGAGGAGCAGGGCTTGAGGGTCGACGATCGGGGTCTTGGCGTGTTGTGGCTTCGGCTGCAGCCGGCCACGAGCGGCCACGAGCGGCCCTCGCACTCTCCATGGCGCCGCTGCCCCGCCCCTGGAATGCCCCTCGCTGTGGGCGCGTGTCGGGGATCTTCTGGCCCGGGTCAATCCAGACCCGGGTCAGCAGGAAACCAAAAACTGCCATGCAGGAAAAAAAAACTGCAACGCAGACCTTCGCAAACCCGGGTCAGCCAATACGCGCGGCCGCCTCGCGGCCACGGGCGGCTCGCTAACCCGGGTCAGCCAGAGGGGGTCTTCGCAGGATCCTGTAGGATCTGGCGCCCTGGCTGACCCCCGTTTGCATCGACCCCCCGTCTCGAGGCTCCCGACGTGCACGGGCCCTTGGACTTCCGGCGAAGGGACTCATGTTCTTGACCCACAATCGTGTGGCAATGCTGAGACCCGAAGAAGAAAGATCGCCAAACACGTAAACCTGTGGCGCTCCGCGCGGATTTCTTGGATCTGCGATGGAGCGTGTCAGGGGCGGCACCGGAGGCGCCGATCCGCGCGGAGCGCCAAAACTTCTGTCTATGCCGTTTTTTCTTATTCGAAACTGGTTGGACGATGTCAACGAACTCGGACACTCCCTATACAACTGGTTTGAATTCGTTGTTTGCCTGCGAATTGAACCAGTTGCGCTGAATTAGGTTAAGAAATAGAATTCGTTGCAACACTGCTGGCAACGATGCCACACGAGCGAAATACACTAGACGTTGTGGAACAACTCACTAGTTCATAACAGCCAGGGTTACAACAGGTGCCGGGCTACTAGCACAAGCAACAGACAACAACTGACACCAAAACTATTACACCGAAGCGAGCAGGGAGCCACCTGTGTTTGTTGCGTTGTTTGGGGTGCAAGTGTTCGGGGTGCACTTCTGGCAATGGGTTGAATTCGCCGGGCCGACGCCAAGAGCAAACAAAAACCACGATAGTGCGTCAACGGATTGCAACACATCGATCCTCAAGGTCATTCATTCACATCCTCCTGTTCATGTTCCTCCTCCTCTCTAGAAGCCTCCCACATGGGGTCCGAGTAGAAGGGGTCGTGGGATCGCGCCGCATCGCCAATGCATCGTCGATGCAGCACGATCTTCCGTCCCGGCTTCATTTGGGAGGCCTGGAAACCTCCTCCTCCTCCTCCTTCTCTTTCTGCTCTTCCTCTCCTCCACCTCCCCCACTTGTCATGTTCTTGCTTGACAATTACTCAATATGAAAATACTCTCCCTCTTCCCCTGATGGCGTCCGGGTGATGGCCGCGCTCCCTCCGCGTACTGTTTTTTTACACACAGGATTCCCGGGAAATCCCGGGAAACGACTCTCGCTGAGGCGCCGGCGTCATTTTTTTCCAAAATGCTGCTCTCGTTGAGGCGCCGGCCTCATTTCTGCTCCCGAATCGTTCCGAATCGTGCTCCCGCTGCAGCGTGGGCCTCATTTTCGGATCGGTGTTTGGCCTCCGTCGTTCAGGATGGCGTTCTCGCCCCAGCGCGGGCCTTTTTCTCGCGCGCCCATCCGCCCGCCACCACCGCGCCGCACCGCCACCACCACCACCACCACCACCACCACCACCACCACCACCACCACAACCACAACCAGCACCAGCACCAGTACCCACCACCACCACCAGCACCACCACCACCACCAGCACCAGCACCACCACCCACCACCACCACCACCACCACCCACCACCACCACCACCACCACCACGACAACCACGCACACACGCACGCACGCACGCACGTGCACCACCACCCACTACGCACGCGCGCGCGGAGCCACAGGTCCGCTACGGCACGCGTCCGCGGATAGAGAAAATCAGCGCCATGGTAAGGGATGGGAGGGAGGGGTAGGACGTCACATATGACGCGAGCGCACCTAGCTTGTCTCCTCCCCCTCCCTTGATAAGGCTTCGGATTGCACGCCGACAGCCCCCAGAAGTAGTCCGGGCTGGCCTCAACAGGTCCCCCGAGAACCCCGAGGCGGTCTGAACCCTGGGGCGCGGACCGTCCAAGGAGCCCCGCCTCTGGCGGCGCCATGGCGTCGAGACCGCTCCAGTGTACTCGTGGGGCCTGTTGAGGCCAGCCAGGACGACCTGTGGGGGCTGTTGCCATCCTCCCTTTCCGCGTTCTTACGATCGTCATCTCTCCTGCTTCTCTTCGTCCCCTCCCCCCCCCTCCTCTTGTCGTGTTCCCCTGCGTCTCCTCGACCTCTGATAGGGGTCACATAAGGGGCGGAGAAGTTCAGGGGCGAACGTTGATACATCGCCGATACTCGGTGGCGCGCAAACATGGATTAAGATATGTATCTGGGGAGGTGCCCTCCCCAGCATGCGCCCGGTCCCGCCTCGGTCGGCGGCAGAAATCCACCATTTCCCATGGAAACGGGACCCGTCGCGAATCCAGGCCCCCTTTATCCATGATTTGATCAGGGACCGACCGTCCTGACATTCCGATAGTCCTACCACGGAATGTTCTTAGAACCCATAAGTGTTCTAAGAACAGCAACAGTGTTCTTCGAACATTAAGACGATGTGTTAAAACAAGACAGTCTCAACCAGAAATGTTTTAATGACATTTCCTGAAAGCCACACACGGTTCTTTAGAGGTCTCCTACATGGGGTCGGAGTAGATGGGGTCGGAGGATCGCGCCGTATCGCCGATACATCGGCGATACATCGCCGATGCATCGGCGACATCGGCGATGCATCGGCGACGCCAGCGTGGAGGAAATCGGGATCCGCATTGAGCCGCATCGCTGATGCATCGACGATGCGGCGCGATCCTCTGACCCCATCTGCACCGACCCCATCTTGGAGGCCTAGATCCTTAGATAATTGTTTGGTAGGCCTATAGGCACGCCAGGACGCTTCGCCACATGTTTTGCGATCCCCTGCGATAGATCGGCGACATTCGGGGGTTGCTAAAGGTGCCCCTGGCCCAAGGTGCCCCCAGCTTTTCGTCGAATTCTGGAGCCCTTGGGGCCCTCTGGGGCTCGCGAGGGGTGCCTTGGAGCCCGTGGGGGCCTCCTGGGAATCCTGGGGGCACCTTGGGCCAGGGGCACTTCCAGCAACACCCGAGACATGCCCCCGACAGCTTGTCCGACCGGCCCTCGGCGGGGGGTGGGCTCCCGGGCCCCGCACTCGGCAGACCATCTGGGGCGATCGGGGGCCGACGCGCCCCCCGTTCTCCCCCCATGCCCCCTACGCTGTCCCCAATCCTCCCCTTGCTTCTCCTCCTCCTCCTCCTCCTCCTCCTCCGCCTCCATCTCCTCCTCCTCCTCCTATATTCTTCTTCTTCTTATTATTATTATTCTTATTATTATCATTATCATCAATATTATTATTATTCTTATTATCATTATTACTATCACCATTATCATTATTACTACTCGTGTTCCTCTTCATCCTCATCCTCCTCCCTCCCCTCCTCTTGCCCCTCCCCTCGACCTCCTCGTCCCCTCCTGCCCCCTCACCGCCCCTCGACCCTCTCGCCTCCTCATGCCCCTCCCTCCCCTCCTCCTCCTGCTCCCCTCCTCGACCTGGCCTCTCCCCGCCTCCCTCCCTCCCCCCCCCCCTCCGCCGCCTCGAGCCGCGTCCTTGGACCCCTCGGTGCTGGCCGTCGCCTCCATGTACTGCCTGGGCGCGCGCTGCCCCCCGCCCCCCCCCTCCCCCGCCTCCGGCTCGCCCCGCCTGCGCCTGCCCCCTCCTTCTGTCCGCCAGACCTCTACCTTGCCAGCCTCGCACGTATCCATATCCCTGAGACTGGCACGCCAGAGGGCGATGACAATCTCAAGGATCCGCCCTCAAAAACAAGGGGGTCCCGGAGATTGGCGTCGTGACGAGGAGATGCCCAGCATAGGGACAGGGATATGTTCCAGGCTGGCAATCTACAGCCAACAACCCTAGTAAGGACGCGCGGTAAGGACGCAAGACCCTTGGAAGCCGAAGTTCGGATTTCTGGGGCGGCGGACGACGAAAACCCCAAGGGGTACCCTGACAAGCGGGCAAGCGAAAGAGGCCAAGGACGAGCCGCAAGAGCAAGGAAGAGCAAGGACGCAAGGGTACCCTGAGCAAAGTCGCGCGTCCTTATTAGGGTTTTTGACTGCATCTCTCTCCCTCTCCTCCCGCTCTTGGCTCGAGAGCACGTGTGCCCAGGGCGAACCGCAGCGCGTACATCCCCGCATCCGCTTCCGCCCTGAAAGACCGGAGCCGCGCCCCACAGCACAGTACCGACACGTGCCCCCTTCCGCATCCGCCCGCGCGCCGTGGCACCGAAGAGGTCCTCGCCGCGCGTCTTCTGCGCTAGCGCAGCCCAAGCTGCCAGGCAAGGGCCGCCAAAAGACTCCCTTACCCGAGAGCAACCCCGTTCGAAAGGGAAGCCTGCGTCGCTGCTCTCCAGACCAGGAGCGGCGTCGACCAAGCAATTGCTGCATGCAGTCTCGTTCACACGCACCCAAACACCAAGCGGATCCGATGTCATTTGCCAGCAACGCCCCTCCGACAAGCGACAAAATCAGGGGCGAACAGATGAGATGATGTAGGAAGAGAATAATAAAATCAACTACGCCATGCTGCATCACTCCCTCACACATAAAACGGCCGCAGACCGTGACACCACACCAGCAGGTATCACGGTCGAAACCTCGGCAAAGATGTGCAAAGTTGGGACGCCCCCTTCACCACAGCGCCCGAAAAGGACGGTGCTGGCAATGCCATAAATCAGCAGCAAATCACTACACACGCTAAAAGAAGCGACCGCCTGCTCCAACACACCCGCACTCAGGACAAGCCTCTAGGCCCCGCAGTTCTGGGGCCCATCAACACGGCCTGCCTTCGACATAAAAATATTGAGCCGTGTACTGTAGCGCACGGTGAAAGCTACCAAGCCCACGCCAAGCAACATCCAAGGCACTTACGTACTTACTCGGACAGGACAAACATCACGTGCCCCCCAGAATGACGCGCAAGTCAAACTAAACCCAGTCGACAACATCGTTTGGATCCATGCGGCCACTAGTACAGCGGATGCCATCGCTGTCACATCTGCGCTCGAGAACTCATGAACAGTCCACTTAGCAGGCGGCGCACCAATGAACGGCAAACGTACTCCAAATGGACCAAGCACGGCAAAGCAAACGGCAACATAAAGCGCAACACATCCGCCAAAAACAAAACTGCACGCACTCAGACGGACGCAGACCTCGCCGACGCCTTCACGGCCGCGCTCGCGCCACACTTCTGCACCGTACAGATCCCAACAAAAAAGAAGCGCAACTCCTAGGACGCCATGGTACAACTTGTGGGACACGCGTTCGAATGGTCACCTTTGGCTCCAACCCCCTCTGCCCCGCGCCAAGGAGGCATCCAATTCGCCATCAGCTATCGCGGCTCCACAGGGCCCCAGCCTAATGATCACATCATCGCGTTGTACACTGACGGTCGCCTGACCATGCTCCAAGAAACCCGCACGACCTCCACCAAACACGACGCCTTCGGAGCGGCAACGGCGGACGAAAGAGTCGGCTGCAGGGTTGCGTCGGACACCCAGGAGACGAATCAAGTGGCTGTGGAACTATGCGGGACCGACGCAGCACTGGCCAACACCACGTACAGCATCACGTGGATTGAACCGCAGAGTGCTACAAATACAGAAACAAACCAACCAAGTGCTCACATCCATCAGAAGGCACTGTGAGGTACGGCGCATAGGCCGGGGCAAAGCCACCACGGGTGATTAGCCAGCGTAAAAGAGGCCAGTCCTCCACCAGATTCTGCGATCCACCTCCATGTGTCTGACGCATTGGGCGGGGAATGCAGCAGGGGCGCGGTCAGAAGCCGCAGGACACTGTAACATGCGAGGCGCGCACCATAAAGGCCCCACCCATTCCGAGGGCCACTGACTTGGCTGCTTGGCCACGCCCGCGACGCCGGCCCTCGAGGCAGCAGCAGCGGCCCACGCTTGTCAACATGCACTGTCTGCACTCTCGTCATTGTCGCGGGCCTCGGTACGAGAGAAACCCCTGCGGATGGCCTCCCCGACCGCGTCGTTCCTGGTGGGCCCGCCGCAACCAAACACCAAACCCACCAGACCGTCGGCCCTTGCCGATCGACGCCATCAATGCGATGATTGAATTTCTCACCATGGGTCCTACAGGGCAGTTTTGAAACACATAGGATAAAAACATATATGATTTTTATACATGATGAATGTATGAACAAATTTATGTATGAACTCATCGTGGTTTTTGATCCTAAATCCCTGCATGTTTAAGACATGATCCGCACGCGAAGCATGAATCTTAAAAATGCACTGCAGGAAGAGCTGGATCCATCACCGGCACCCTTCCGTGCCTCTCCCGGGCGCGCGGGGCGCGCGCGGCCAGCGGGGAGGGCCCCGGCCGCGGGGCCGCGCGCCCGGGCTGGCCGATCGACCTCGCGGCCGCCGCCGCGGGCAGGAATGGCAGCGGGGCTCTGCCCTGCATCGCCGTCGCCCTGGCCCGTGGGGGAGTCGGCGCCTCTGGCGGCCCGCCCGCGCCTCCGGCCCAGGCCTGCCCCGCCTGTCTCCGCGCGCTCACCAGCGAGGGAAGGTCCTCCTCCTCCTCCTCCTCCTCCTCCTCCTCCTCCTCCTCCTCCTCCCTCCTCCTCCTCCCCCTCCCCCTCCTCCTCCTCCTCCTCCTCCTCCTCCTCCGAGGCCTGCTGCCTCGCCCAGTGCGATCGCCAGAGGCAGCGCGACTGGGCGCACCACCATCAGGCACTGTCAACGCGCCGCCCTGGGCCAAGTGGGCCGCATCGCTGGCCGCGTGGAAGACGCCGTTCTCCAGGCGGGTCTAACGGGTCGAAGACCAACATGCCCCAGGCGCGCTGGAAAGTGGAGGTCATCGATGCAGGCCTCCTTCTGCTGCAAGGCCACTGGTGCACTATTGGCCTCCGCGCTGTCGAATGGTGCATCGGCCGCGGACAATTGGACCTGCCCCTGACCTCAGCGGACCCTTCGTTCAACGGCGGTCAGGGGAAGCGGCGCTATACACCGCCGCCCTCGACGCCATCCGCACCTTCAGAAATTCCGGCAGGAAGCTGCGGCCATCGCGGGGGCCGGCCTCAGCGAGGCCGCATTTCCGCGCACGCAGCCAAAGCCGCAGCGGCAGCCACAGCCCTCGCCTTCGCCAAAGAGGCCTCGGCGCTGCGGGCGGGGCGGGGAAGAGCCCGCGTCGACGACCGAGTGGCGCCGGCCGCCCCAGCGCGCCCACGCCATCAGCGGGCCACGCGGCGGAAGACGCGCTGCAAGGGAGTGACGACGGAGCCCGCTTACAACCAACACCACCGCTTGAACTGGCCCCCGCCAGGGAGTGGATTGACGTCGCACGGCTGCCAGATCCATGGCCCCAAGGCACCGCGGGGTCGCGGGGTCCAACCTCAGGCGCCTGCGGCGGGCTCTCTCTGTTTGCTTTTGAGGTCCACAGTGAGATCGACAGTGAGATTCACCGATAGGTCGGTCGACGGATAGGTAGATAGTGGGATCTCATCGTCATCGCGATCATCATTGTGGTGGAGGGAGGCTCTGATAGAGAGGAAAAGAGAGGGAGAGAGGGCGAGATAGAGAGAGAGAGAGAGACAGAGAGAGAGAGAGACAGAGAGAAAGAGAGCGACGAGGTCAAGGTGACAGGCTGGAGGTCAGTCAGGGTGGGCATTTGATCTCAATCCCCCCCAACCTCCTTATCGCCCGCAGGGCGGTCGTGTAGGTATCCGAACTCGACTAGGGCAGGAATAAGGCCGATCGAGATACCCGGGAACGATCTCATAAATCCGCTGGTTGTGGTACAATTCTTGTGTAATTGTTGGTGTAGGTTAGTTTGAGCAGTATGTGTGGTGCAATCTACGTTGTGCAATATAGGAACGGAGAAGCCCCCACCAGAAAATCGGTTTCGGTTTCGGGTTCGTGTCGTGCGTGCGGGCGAGGCGAAGCTGCGTGGGCGGGCAAGAGGCATGACTCCGGCGTTGCCAGGACAGGCCCAGACAAAAGACCGCCCCTCAAGTGGGGCGGCGTGGCCGGAGTTGTCCCGCAGTGGTACCCCGCCGTGGTGTCCTGTCAAGTTCCGCGCGCGGTGGCTCGTCGGTGTCTCGCCGTGGTGTCCCGTCGGTGTCCCGACGGGTCCCGTGGGTGTCCCGTCAGTGTTCCGCCGTTGGTGTCCCGTGGGTGTTCCGCCGCTGTCCTGTCGGTACATCGTCGGTGGCCCGCCGTCGGTGTCCGGACGGTGCCCCGTCGTCAGCATCGTCGTCTTGCATCGTCGCCAACTCGTGAGCGGATCTACCAGCATCGCTACCATCACAAGTATCGCACTCGTCCTCAGTTGGTTCGTTCCCCCCACAACCTCCCTATCACCCGAAGGGTGGTCGTATAGGCATCCATGAAATATGCAATGTGATGCAATACACGTGGTGCAATGTATGTTGTGTAACCTATGTGGCGCATAATATACGGTACAATACATGTTGTGAAATCGATGTAGAGCAATCATGAGCAGTCTAGGTTGTCCAATATATGATGTGCAATCTAGGGCGGCAACAAGGCGGCGACGGCGACAACATAGCCACCAGACCGACAAACAAACACAGACAACGGGCGGTGACGGGGCGGCGACGGCGACAACACAACCGCCAGACCGACTGACAAACCCAGACGACGAGCGCCGACGAGGCGGCGACGGGGCAGCGACGACGACAACATCGCCGCCAAACCGACAGGCAAGCCCAGACGACAAGGACCGAGGAGGCGGCGACGGGGCGACCACGGTCACAAAATAGCCGGCAGACCGACAGGCAGGCCCACCTCCTTAGAAACGAAGTAAGAGTCCCTACATGCAAACACTGTTTAGGGAAACGTCCTCTCGCCCCAGAGTTTAGCAGGGCATGCGGGTGCAAGACCGAATTGTCAGGTTGCTGCTGCTTCGAGGGAGGGAGGGTCCTGTGCTCACGGGAGTGCAACACCGCGCATCGATGAGATGTCGACCGAGCCTGCCGGGTGGGCCCTTTCGTGCACCTTACTTGTGGGTTCGGTTTCAGCCGTGACGCACCTCGAAATACCTTCGGGCCTGTCGCCAGTCGGTTTCCTGCTTGCACGGGCGATTCCATCCCCAACGGCGAGAATGCGAGAATGCTGTCATGATGCGACTGGTTTGAGATGCGTCCCACAAGTTCTGGAGCATCTAACAAACTTCGTGTTTGGAAACCGCGCGAAGCACCGGTAAGTCTTGGAAGTCGTGGAACGCAGATGTATCATGATTTCTGTTTTTCTCTGACTCCCCCCCCAAAGATCCGACGACTCGGAAAACAAACTCAACATCATGAACAATCGCGACCAGCGCCTCGGACCCTATCTTTCGGCTGCTTTTCTCGGCCCAGATCGATCTGTGAGGGTCCCATGGCCCGAATTCGGACAAAAACGACCAGTGCGAAAACAATGCAGCGCCTGGGTTGCAGGGCATCGCGACTCGCTGCTTCTCTGACGCCCGCACCCTCCCGCTCCAACTCCTCCAGCGACGATCTCTCTCTCAGGGGTCCCCGGCAGGTGGCCTGGCGGCCCCGTCCATCATCGCCTCGAGGCCCCCGTCCTCGCCAGTGCCGCCAGCCTACGGGGGGGGGAGGGGAGAGGAGGCCAACGTGGAGGAACGCCCTCGAGGAAAAGTTCGGGTGCGCCGGCGGAAGGGGCCAGGAGCTCAGACCCCGCCGGGTCGAACAGTTCCTCTGCTAAGGAGCTTGCATGCAGCAGCCCTGGATCCGTGCGCAGGGGGCAGGCCCACTACCCTGGATCCGTGCGCAGGGGGCAGGCCCACTACCTTACTGCCCCCAAAATACTCGAGGCCCCCCGTCCTCGCCAGTGCCGCCAGCCTACGGGGGGGGGAGGGGAGAGGAGGCCAACGTGGAGGAACGCCCTCGAGGAAAAGTTCGGGTGCGCCGGCGGAAGGGGCCAGGAGCTCAGACCCCGCCGGGTCGAAACAGTTCCTCTGCTAAGGAGCTTGCATGCAGCAGCCCTGGATCCGTGCGCAGGGGGCAGGCCCACTACCTTACTGCCCCCAAAATACTCGAGGCCCCCGTCCTCGCCAGTGCCGCCAGCCTACGGGGGGGGGAGGGGAGAGGAGGCCAACGTGGAGGAACGCCCTCGAGGAAAAGTTCGGGTGCGCCGGCGGAAGGGGCCAGGAGCTCAGACCCCGCCGGGTCGAACAGTTCCTCTGCTAAGGAGCTTGCATGCAGCAGCCCTGGATCCGTGCGCAGGGGGCAGGCCCACTACCTTACTGCCCCCAAAATACTCGAGGCCCCCGTCCTCGCCAGTGCCGCCAGCCTACGGGGGGGGGAGGGGAGAGGAGGCCAACGTGGAGGAACGCCCTCGAGGAAAAGTTCGGGTGCGCCGGCGGAAGGGGCCAGGAGCTCAGACCCCGCCGGGTCGAACAGTTCCTCTGCTAAGGAGCTTGCATCCAGCAGCCCTGGATCCGTGCGCAGGGGGCAGGCCCACTACCTTACTGCCCCCAAAATACTCGAGGCCCCCGTCCTCGCCAGTGCCGCCAGCCTACGGGGGGGGGAGGGGAGAGGAGGCCAACGTGGAGGAACGCCCTCGAGGAAAAGTTCGGGTGCGCCGGCGGAAGGGGCCAGGAGCTCAGACCCCGCCGGGTCGAACAGTTCCTCTGCTAAGGAGCTTGCATGCAGCAGCCCTGGATCCGTGCGCAGGGGGCAGGCCCACTACCTTACTGCCCCCAAAATCCTCGAGGCCCCCGTCCTCGCCAGTGCCGCCAGCCTACGGGGGGGGGAGGGGAGAGGAGGCCAACGTGGAGGAACGCCCTCGAGGAAAAGTTCGGGTGCGCCGGCGGAAGGGGCCAGGAGCTCAGACCCCCGCCGGGTCGAACAGTTCCTCTGCTAAGGAGCTTGCATTGCAGCAGCCCTGGATCCGTGCGCAGGGGGCAGGCCCAACTACCTTACTGCCCCCAAAATTACCTCGAGGGCAACCCGTCCTCGCCAGTGCCGCCAGCCTACGGGGGGGGGAGGGGAGAGGAGGCCAACGTGGAGGAACGCCCTCGAGGAAAAGTTCGGGTGCGCCGGCGGAAGGGGCCAGGAGCACAGACCCCGCCGGGTCGAACAGTTCCTCTGCTAAGGAGCTTGCATGCAGCAGCCCTGGATCCGTGCGCAGGGGGCAGGCCCACTACCTTACTGCCCCCAAAATCCTCGAGGCCCCCGTCCTCGCCAGTGCCGCCAGCCTACGGGGGGGGGAGGGGAGAGGAGGCCAACGTGGAGGAACGCCCTC